AAGTAGCGCTAAGCAGACAAATCAGAGTTTTACTCCAGTGTATAAAAGTACTCTCACACATGTAAGCATTACACAATAGATATGATGCAAATGAGAAAGCTTGACGGTTAAATTTGTCCAAGTCTAATACTGGACAAAAAGAAGACGTTACTAGAATTCAAAACACAGGATCCAAGATGTTCTGCAAAGTCTGACCAACCTACCTTACACCATATATTATCATGCACTGTGCTATTACCTTTAATGATCGCTACTTCAAAAACTCTCCTGAATGACTCTTAACTATGCAGAAAGAGAACTCGAGCCATCATGACACATCAACCTGACAGGGCCACTGTCTAGATGTCTTGGAAGTTACATTCACTCTGTGGTGTGTTCGTGAATATAAACTATAACCTACACTATATATATGTCTCACCTTGTAGAACTCGTGTTCCATCACCTTGATTCCACTGATGCCAAAGCTGGAGTTTATAAGTTGATCCTTCAGCGCAGTCTTCTCCTCGCTGCTAATCTGAAAAGTTGTGAGATTTCATTGAGGAGTTGCATAAGCTGAACTGTTAATATGATGTTAATAAGCTTGTGGAAAACAAACATTGTTTAAAAAAACAAAACAAAAACCTAAAGTTGGCTTTGCATTCTTGCTTACACCCTGCCACCACCATGTTATCCAAACCTACTGTAGTTCTTTCCTTTTGTGAGCCTAAAAGCAAAACAGAGACTAAGTACACTATATAATATATAGTGTAAACTATATATATTATATTTATGTTTTGGGATTTATTATTAAAAAAAATAATACACACATATTTGAAATATAATTTTTTCACAATTAAATCTTTTACTGAATAGGGCCAACTTTTTAAAGATGGAAGATGTTATGATGATTGAACAGCTCCACCTAGTGAAAATACAACTGAACACCACTATGCTGTGTATAGAAACAACTGGCATGGATTTAGGCCCGTGTCCTCAACATACTCTGAGCCTGACATAGAAACAAAATCCAAGATATATTTTCTAAAACACATTATGGTAAAGAGGCACTTAAATGTAAGTTAATCAAATATAAGTAAGTAAATTTTCATGGTGTTAAAAAAAAAAAAAAGACTAATTGTGTGTTTCTGAATAAGTCACTATTACAAGAAGACAGAAATTCCCAGTTGTAAAAGTTCCCAGTTGGAATTTTTTTGTGGTAAGCCTCCTCAACTTAAATTTCCAGAAAAAAAATATTTTTGAAATATGTCAAGTGTTTTCTTTAGGAAAGCTTACTGTGTCATAATGGAGATTATTCTTGTGAAGAAATGCCAGTTGTTGTTTTGGGACCAACTCAGTAAAATGGAAGCGGAAAAGATCAACTTCCTGTTGTATAAACCAGCGCCTCAGATCTTCCCTTTGAGAGACAAATGGAAATAAACATTTATCTTTTGCCGCTGAACAACTTATATTCTGACCACATCTTCCAGTATTCCTAAATGGAGACTAAAGACTTACGTTTGGCAGTAGGCCAGTCTGAGAATGAAGTGGGAGATATGGTCTTTTCTTCGTTTTTCATATTCAATTGGTCCACTTTGAGATTTCTTGTCATCCTTAAGAGTTAGAAAACAATTAGTTAATTTGAAAGACAAATAGATGTCAATCATTTAATCATCATTCACCACTTCTTGTCATGTTGTACAGTTTTTGTTTTATGTACATATATGAAAAAATTATCATGTACTAAAAGTCATGTTTATGGTAGCTGTACACTAACTTCCATTATCTCAGGCTCTTGTAATTCAGCATAGGGTCTTAAAATGTTAGTAAATGAGTCACGTTTTCAGCAACACCCAGCAGTGTCTCTTCTTTACTAATACAAATACATTTTATTGCTAAATCATGCTATTTCATCACTATTGCAAAGAGAATTTGATGGATCCTGCGCAAGCTTAACTCCTCAAAGTCAATACTGTGTCAATACACATCGAGCTAAACACTGGTCTCACTCTAAAAGCTATGCCAGTTTATTAGATATGTCTCACTCACAAGGGGGGCACAAGCACCATGAAGTGCAGTGCGATATTACAGGACCCTAAACAAATCCAACCCCTGTGTTTTCATTAAAACACATAGCGGGTAAAAGTTTAAAAAGAAATATCTTTGTGATAAAGCTTTAGTTGAAGTTGTTGACAACACAATGCAATAACTGACTCATTAATACTGTTTAAAGGTGCACAATGGGAAACATACTCACAGCATCTGGTCTGTAAGGAAAGTTCAGAGCTTTAAGCTGACTCTCAAGTTTGCGTCTATACTGATCTGTAAGCTTGACATGGCTCACACCCAAGTTCTCCACAGTCTTCAACACTACAGTGGCATTAAAACAAACATTACAAACCACATGTCCTAAATAAAATGTATTACACAAGAGCAGAGAAAACAATGCTTACAGTAATTTTCATCATTTGATTTCACAAGTAGTATGAGACAAATCTTACACTTCAGTCGTTCCACAGCAAATGTTTCAAATTCAGAGAGAGATATGTTTTCAAGAGGAGGCTGTCCATAAAACTGCAGGTGCTGCCCATAGAGCTCCGACTGAGGGATAGTGCTACTCTTCTTTTTTCTGCCTCCAAACTGCATAGTGCCTGATGGTAAAAGAAATCAAGCATGTTTTAATGTACCACTTGCTAACAAGCTGGGTCCCAAACCTGCCATATCTGATGTAGTGAGCCATTGACCAAAGCGACATTCAATACAAATTCATGGAAATTAAATAAGCTGTTCTTATTTCAAACGCATAACGCTTGATTTTGCCATTTTCTCCTTACTAGGAGTTGAATAAATAAAACACACTATTGTGGAGAAGACCCGAGCCACCAAACGCTTATAACTAACAAACATTAAGAAATTCAATGAGCTTCTTTGATTTCAAACAGTAAAGGATGCTGCCATACAAAATCAGAACAAACGAATTACTGCACAGCATCTGCTATTAACCTTTAACCAGTCAGTGCATAAGTGGCACCCGGTATCACTTAAAGCAAAACTTGGCAAACGGAGCATCTCCTTGACTAATCGTCTCTTCAATCCATAGCTGAGAGACTGTGATGAAGAGTCGAAATGTTCCTGACATCTAGAAATCAGCCTCTGCACACAAACTGAACTGACAGTGTGAAGCTGTGTATGTTTTGTTATGTTACACTGGCTCAGCAGTCAGTAACTGTCGTTCTCATAAACTCAATTTCTACATTTAAGGCTAAATGTAGCCGCTAACAGAGACTATTTAGCTTAAGTTAGCAATAGAGCCCATAGCAAGACGTTAAGGGTAGTGAGAAACAATCCAACTTTGACGTTTGCTAGGTATCAGATTTGAGTTTAAACTGCATTGAAAAGACCGAGCTCAAAAACAGCCCGAGAAACTTATTTCACGGTTGAGGAGCAACAAGAAGCATATAATACTGTCGTTACATTACCGATTAGATGACGCTTTTAGACTCCAAATAACGCAGTCCCGCCAAACAAAAGGGGCTGTTCAACAAACGCGGGTAAAAATATGACGTTGCATCCGACACCGGAAGAGAACGAAAGTTGTGACGTGGTGTGTACTCGTTTTACTTTTTAGGACAGCCCGCCCCGTCTCTCAAAGTAACGATGACCTCCATGAAAAAAACAGGCAAACAGTTTCTTTTAAAATACTATTACCCAAACTTGGCTTGAGCCAAGACAAGCCACTGCTATTTCACACTATGTTTCCATTTCTGTTTTTTGGAGTTTGAACCAAATCCGACACAAACTCACGGGCGCACGTGTATTACATAACAAATGTCCCACTAAAACGCGGGTTCACCTTATCTCAAATCAAGAAAATCATTGTTTTTCAAACGATTAATAACAACTTTGAAATTAAACTTTAAAATTTAAAGATATTTAAAAAAATCATACAGAAACCCATTTCCCAAATGCCCATTTGATAAGGTTGGTTGAACTGATTTTCTTCTGAAATATCACTACTCCACAGACAGTTTACCTATCAGATCAGCAAATTTCCACAAATAAGGATTACTGGCATTGTCCTTAGCATATAAACTTCTCTTCACACAGACACTGCATATGGATATACGGGTGTGTATGTAGGAATGAATGAAACACCGCATGTTTGACACAAGAACGTTAGATTTAAAATAAACAGAATATATTCTGTAAAGCACTTTCAGGAAAGGTTTAAATTCCATGTCATTTATTCCTATGATTTTTGTGGTCGAAATAGATCAGACATTTCGCATTTATTTTTCCACTGTATTCTGTTTTGACGTACAAAAGTTTTGTATTTAGAGAAATTGGTAAATGGTCATGTTATATTATAGAGACATTTTAGTTTATTTTGTGGCTAACTCAATAAACAAAACAAAACAAAAATTCTAACCCAAATTCTGCTCATTTTTGGTAAGTTTCATATGCATACAGTAAAATGAACCTATACAAAAACAAACGTCGTTACTTTTTTAACTAACATCAACCATTGCTACAATTTTCTCAGCAGACGGTTAGGTGTTTTCTGCCTTTTTAAAAAAATGAAGCTGCAGTTATTTAAAGTTATTTAACAAACTATTTGATAGTTTCACATTAATGACACATATTCAGAAAGGGAGAAACTATAGTGGAAAGTACATTTACTCCCTTTTAACACGTTTCCGTGTTTCTGCTTTATAACATGCATTTTACTTCACATACCTGAAAGTAAAATTCACTTTTTAATCCGGTTGTGAGTAATTTTCACACGCTTTTTTCTTGGTTGTTGTGATCCGTCCACATAAAACACGCGTAGAAGACATATATAATGGTTGTGAATAAAAAAATATCAACAATAATTCAGCGTTTAAACAGACGTGACTTTTAGGGCTAACATATGAGAACTACAAGTGTTCCCAAGACTCCCGAGGACAGAGGCGCGTCCACGCCGACTCTCTTGCTTTGTGCATTCTTTGGCTCTGCTGCTTAGCAACAAACACTAGCGAGCTAGCCAACAGCCTGCCTGGCTAGCTCTCACGCGCAACGTAGCTCACTGAAATAGGCAGCAATGCATATCCATTCTATAAATGTCATGAGAGTGACCTCAGGTGTTGACAGTCAATAAACGGTATCTTTCGTTTAGGAGAGAACGTTTTTGCACTACACAGGGAAGAAGTCGTTAGCGAACGGAGCAGAAGGTTGTCTTTCTTCTGTGAAAAGTGGCTAATCTTAGCTAGGCACCCTTAGCAGCGGAGTCTCTTGCGTCTCTTGCCACGGAGAAGAGCGGCGGGAGGCTGTAGATATGTGGATGTGGGTTAGCTGACTGCATAGCTCGCCTAATGTCATTGGATGAGTTGTAGCGTCGTTTTACAGGTAAGAAACTGCACGCTTCTTTGGCATGCTTTCCCATCATTTCTTCACCGTTTATTTCACCCAGCTTTAACGCACTACCTCGGGAGCTGCTCTGTACTTCAAGGGGAGCCTCCTTTCAGCAATTCAACAGGTCTTATCTTGACCAAGGCAAGGGATTTGAGTGAAGAAGAGGAGTGGGAAGTTGACTTCAAACTTAATTCCCATCAGAGACTATGAACGCATTACATATAGCAAAAGTCTTCGACAGAGTTGAATAGCTTAGTTGCGTGTCATGGCGTTTTGATCTGTGTTATTCAGTCTTTGCTTCAAAAAATTGTGGTGCCCCGCCTTGAGGCCTGGACAAGTAACGGTGAGTCTATGAAGATGACTCACTGTCTAGCAAAGGGGGGTGTATTATCTGCTTCATACTGAGCAGAATTCAGTACTATGTGCATAGCAATGCAAAACATACCTTGCTACCATGTTATGTAAAAAATGCAGTTGGCCTGTATATTTCAGATTCTGTGTTATCACATTTGTATTGTATGAATATGGTAATGATGACCTGAAAGCCCAGAATTTACTCAGGACAGTTGTTTGTGCAGGTATGGAGAATATTGTGTTTAAATTTGTAGCTGATACCTGTCTTGAAGTGTTAAACTGCACCTTCCAGTCACTTCTTTAGAGCTTGAAAAAAGAAGGCAGCTGGACTTCTTTCAAGAGGCGTTTTCCCTTAAAAAAACAAATGATGGAAAGTCACAAGTATTTACCCTGGGGGTACCCTTTTGGAAGTGATCCTTATTGATAATGTGAGTCACCAAATGAGCCGAGATGTAAAAACAAAAAAAAACAACAACTTGGGTCACTCACATTACCATCAGTGGGGGTTCAGAATGAAACCTCTGTGAGGTCTTGCCCTAACATGACCTATTGAGATCACCTGAGGAGAGTTGTAATTCATTTCAGAAATGTGGGGTATAAGACATGACCACAGTGCAAAAAGATTGCCCCACATTGTTGTTGATACTAAGACCACAATTATTCAGATCTCATTTTCAAACACTGTTAAAGCGAATCATCATCATTTATCTAAATCTGAATCACGTTGCTCTGAACTTATAGTAGTTATAAATAAACAATACATAACCAGCTTCTTAACCTCCCAGTTTGACAGTTTCTGTGATGATAAAACATATTTAAAGTACAAATCCCGAACCGACTACACTTGAATAGGAGAGGACTAGCTGCTTGAAAGGAAGAGGAGGTCTTTGCTCAACTAAAGAGAAATGCAAAGTCAAGACTTTATAGTTTACAGAGTTTACATTAAAAGAAGAGCATACTATTCTATTTTCAGCTGTGTTTTGCCTTCATGTTATACCAACTGATGTGTCATTCAGCTCAATTACAGATACATATTGTGACTCAAATTCAAGCAGGCTGTTGAACACTACAGTCACGCAGTAGGCTGTCAGTGTCCACTGAGAACAGCTTTCCCACAATATGTTGTTTAGCATAGCACTCAGCCACTCCACATATATAGCTGTGGGGACCCGGTTGCTATGCGGAGTGTGCAGTTTTCTGCACTAATGGAACAATAAACATAGTGAACCACCTCTCCAGTCAAGCTGAAAATTTGTTTTACAACAGTTAGTAAAATGTGCACCCATAACAGTTTAAAAGCTAATTACAGACATTGTGTATGTGACACCATGTATTAGAGTGCAATGAAGTGCTTGTGTTGCTGGCGAATATGATAATTATATTATTAAGCCTATAAAAGTTGAGTTGTGACTGTTGGCTATAAAAATGTATTGTAAAACATTTTTTAGGCTTTGACAACTACATTTGTAACAGTATATTGACATATCAAACTGAAAATAAGTTTGATTAGTATTAAAAAGAAGCAGCACGGTGGCACAGTGGTTAGCACTGTTGCCGCACAGCAAGAAGGTCCTGAGTTCAATTCCACCATCAGGCCGGGGTCTTTCTGTGTGGAGTTTCGCCCTTTCGCCCTATGACAGCTGGGATAGGCTCCAGCGCCCCCGCGACCCTGAAAAGGATAAGGGGAAGCGAATGGATGGATGGATGGATGGATAAAAAGAAGTAGCAGTCAGTTGCGCCTCTGCTAATTTGCTTGATTGTCAGCCGCACTTTAACAGCATTTATAAGTAACTTATAAACTGAGTAACAAAGTTGGTTTTCATCATATTTGTTCAACTGACAATGTCTCTGAAGTGAGTGATTCATATATAAATCACATTTGAGTTGCATTTGTCCAGTGTTTGTGTGGCTTTTTTTTGTGTGTGTGTTTTTTTTTTTTTGTAGTATCTAATATTTTATTTTACACTTTCAGCCGGTACATGTGCTCCCATCACAGCTCTGAAACAATACAGGCACAGTGGAACTGAGAAAATCAGCCAGACGTCATCACCATGTTGGAGGAGGACATGGAAGTGGCCATCAAAGTGGTCGTGGTCGGCAATGGAGCTGTCGGCAAGTCCAGTATGATCCAACGTTACTGCAAGGGCATTTTCACTAAAGACTACAAAAAGACAATTGGAGTGGACTTCCTGGAAAGGCAGATACTGTAAGATGTTCATTTGAAAGATGTTCCACATTATTTATCAGTTATAGTCTATAATCAAAGTCACAGAGGGTCTGTTAACTAACTACAACTTCAGCTGTATAAAATTGTTTTACAATATTAAATACATATTGGAATGTGGAATCCTGTTGGTACCCACATTTTAGGTTTAATCAGAAATTACTCTTTTTAAAAAAACTGAATTTTACTAAATTTGAGACATTTTACTTAAAAAGGCCACTTTGTTATATTATATTTAGCTTTTATTTAATTAACATTAATTATTATTATTTAATATTTTATTAACCACAGCACAGTGGTGCAGTAGTATTGTGGCCTCTCAGCAAGATGGTCCTGGGTTTGAATCCACAGGCTGGCTCGGGCTTTTCTGTGACTGCGTTGGTTCTCTCTGGGTACTCCGGTTTCCTCTGACAGTCCAAAGACATCCATGTTGGTTAATTAACCAGATTTTTTTGTTTTATTTTTTTATTTTACTTCAATTCTTCTATTGAATGCCTATCTAGTTTTTACTTATTTTACTTTACTTAGTAACTGTGTACTGTATGTATGTACGTAATGTATGTCATTACACTCCTGGAGGAACAAGAGCCCTCTTGAGTTAAATGAAATAATTTTCCACCCTAGAAGAAAACATGATAAAATATTTTTTTTCCATGTTATAAATAATAATTAAAAGAGAAAGTTATTTGATGAGAATTTAAAAATATATATATATATTATTACTTTTGTTTATTGAAGGAAATGTTTTATTCCAAATGTCTTAAAATTGTAGTTTTTGTGATTGTCTATTAACATAGAAAAACAAGTAGAGTGTGCTGAGTAGGATATAATAGGATATTATAGATGGATGAATATGTAACTAGTCAATTTTTTTTTCTCATCGTTTTAGTGTAAATGATGAAGATGTCCGACTAATGCTTTGGGACACTGCTGGGCAGGAGGAGTTTGATGCCATCACTAAGGCCTATTACCGCGGTAAGATTGCACCTCTGCAACAAATAACGTTTGCTTATCCCGTATTTCTAGGCTATTTCTAGGCTTCCAACCAGTGTAAATGTAAGCACTAGTATATATATACATATATATTTCCTAGAGGGCTTATTCTAAAATCCAATCTGTGGTTTTGCTCTTGGACAATGAATTATGCAACATGTGCAACATGCTTTTTTTTTTTTTTTTACAAGATGTAACAGCTTGAGAACGTGAACTGTTTGTGTATGTGATCTTACTTTGCAGGTGCGCAGGCATGTGTGCTTGTCTTCTCCACCACAGACCGGGACTCATTTCAGGCTATTGACAGCTGGAAGGAGAAGGTGGAAGCAGAAGTTGGAGATATTCCCACAGTTCTTGTGCAAAACAAAATTGACCTCCTGGAAGAGACTGTTATAAAAAAGTAAGGATTCGGTGGTACAGAAAAGCAATTAACTGTTAAAGAAAAGAGTGCTGACTGTTTATTGAAAATAAGCCTGTTAATTTAGAAGAAAATTAAGAAGTGCTGTATTTCCTTCACTTGTACTGCAGTGAGGAGGCAGAAGCATTGGCTAAGAGGCTTAAGCTAAGATTTTATCGCGCTTCAGTGAAAGAGGACCTAAATGTGAATGAGGGTAGGTTACTGAAAATCTGAACAACTGATCAGATGCAAGTAAAATGGCTTGTTTCTTAATGTTACTGTCATAACATTTCTGCTTGTTGTCTTCATTTAGTTTTTAAGTATTTAGCTGAGAAGTATCTACAGCGACTCAAACAGCAAACAGCAGAGGAGACAGAGGTGGTCCACACAACAAGCAATAAAATAGGTAAGAAATCTTTTTCCGTATCACAATTTAAGCTCTGGTGTTTTGTTTTTGTTTCTTTTAAATAGCCTTTACTCATTCTTTCTGGGGTTTTTTTCCAAAGGTGTTTTTAATACAACAAGTAGTAATGTCTGCAACCAGAGCTCCAGCAACGGCAGAGAAGTCATCACTTTGCGTCCTAACAAGCAAAGAACCAAGAAGACTAAAAATCCCTTTGGAAGCTGCAGCCTCCTCTAGAGAAAATCATTTCATTTTACTGACTGACAGTTATTTCTGACATTAGATTGCTCGTTATTGTAAGCTGTTGAGGTAGCGACAGTTAGTGACCAAAGCTCACATAGACTGGGAAACACTACACTACACTATATTACTTTATTAACCTAATGTTCATCTTCCTCGCCCCATGTTGATAGGTGTATTGCGGTCTCGAATATTCATCAGCGATCTGGGCACAAAACCTAACCTTTGTACATACTTGGATCCTCCTAATGGTTGCCTTAAGAAACAACTGCAGCTACAGTATGTTGTGTTATTAATTTAATGATGCCCAAAACAACTGAAGTTCTAGCTGTTGGTGCACATGGATTTTCCCCCTTATGGCCGAGGCTTTTGCTCTTTCTTTTTTTTTCACTCTTTTTTTTGTTTGTTTGTTTTAATGAAACTTGACATACCGACTCTCATCAAAGTATGTAACAGCAAAAGTTGCACTCCATCGAGACTTTTCCTTCTGTACGTGGTTATTCTGTTTAACATTTCAGCTGTGCAATACATTTGCATGTATTATAAAAGATAAGCAGATTATTTTATTCCATATTTTTCTAACTGTTAAACAGATAATGGTTCAAACTATATTCTTCGTCCTGATTGAACGCTGAGTTAAATCTTTGCGTGAAGTATTTTTGTACGAAGCACAATAGCTTTGACTGATCTTATGTGCCAAATTTTCTCTTTCTGAGCTGTGGTTAAACATGTGCTCTCATAGATATAGGTATGTAACCAAATATCAATAACCAATGACACAAAAATAGTCCTTTTTCTGTCTGCTTACACTTGTTAAACAAATTATTTTAGACATAAAACACCATTTACACTAAAAAAATTCTCTGTTATTTCAATCATAGTACCTCAAGTTACAACCAATTGTCAGTTACAATACAATACTATGCTTTTGATTGCAGTTGTTTACATTGTTTTGTTTATTATTTCTATAGCTTTGACATATATATTCAGAGTACAGTAAACACAGTACAGAATTCTCCTATTAGTTTTTTTGACCTGGATTGTGAAGAACTTTCTCCAGACTATAAAAAAGGAGCTGCCAGAAAGTGAAAAGAAAAATGAAAGCTCACTGCTCAGTAGGTACTGTACCTGTGGTGTGGAGTTTAGGGCGGGATGTAAACGAATCCTCTCAGAAGGTGTTACAAAAAGTTGGCAATCAAGAGGGGATGTTTTGCTATTGAAGCGCTTACGTGTGCCTGATTATGCAAGAAAATTACATTTCTTTCTAACTAAATGAGAGTACTCCCAGAAACAATCTCCCAGTCCTAATCCTTAGTTTTCAATACAACTATCTGTGAAATGTATAATGTATTCACCTTTCCTTCTGTTTTTCAGAACTCATTATTGGGTTACACAGGTTTACCAAGCACAACAAAATATTTAGTAATATAGAAAAGTCTTAGATTAAATCTTCTGTCTTGAATGAACATTTCCTTAGTATTTTCAGTTGTAGCTATCTAATGGAATTATAATACATAGGTCATCTGGGAATACATGTGCATGCATGCTTTACTCTTAAAAGAAAAAAAGATTTCAGATCTGTGTTCAGATTTTTTTTTCTATTGTGAAAATACCAAAAGGTGCTTAAAATGTGTTCTACAGTTACACCGTTGGTACTAAGATTCTGTCACATTTCAGTTTCCCATTAGGGTTTTTTTTTTTTGTAAACTGCTGTTTTGAAGACAAGCAAAGTGGCATAACTGTAATGCATGCAGGCCTTTTCCCCTCCCATATCAGTGAATGTTTAATCATTACAATGCCTTGTCAATGTTTACATTCTTCAGAGTACACATTTTAATCCACCCTTTTGCTGTTTTGTTTTTTTTAATTGCCTTCACAGTAGATCTGTAAGTAATGTTTTTCTCAAGCTTGTGCTAGTTTGTGTTTACTTTGTCTTTTGACTGACTTGATTCACTGCACTTTATCATTAAGATGGCGTATAATTTTAAAGAATCAGCAGTTAAAACTAACCATACTTAAGTGCTGTCACTCAGGTGTAATCTTTGTGTCTTAATTTTACTTTTACTTTTTCTCACATGACTTCATTAGCAGATTCACACCTTTAGAAAGACAAACCAACTTGTGTTGGCTTTCAGCCTGAGAAAAACGACACAACTTGCAGTTTTGTTGTGTCACACCCTGGAGTGTGCCACACAACTGTGTGTCTGTTGTTTTGTTGGCGAGGCAGTGTTTGGTGGCAATCTGATATAAATAAAAAATTTCTTGAGCATCCATTGTATGATTTCATGACAGTTTCTTTAACCAGAATGTTGTTATTATTTTAACTGGGTACATTTAGTTAGAGTGAATAAGGTTAGATAATTTTAGAAGTGCAGACAGTTTGGATAAAAGATGGTTGTCTGTACCCGTGGCAGTTTTACAAGTTAATAAACAACTAACATGGGTGTAGAAGTTTAGCCTTGCTCTTAGTACCTTGACACGAGAAACTCATACCTCATGATCCTCATATTCTATGTTATTTCATATCCTTATGCCAAATGCCAAACAATAGATGAGTTTGCTCAAATGCCATCCGCTGGGGAAGAGCAAGTGATAATATGTAGGGCTCCTAGACAAAGGCAACCTTTACTTACTTAAAACATTGTATGCCCTTTGCACTGCTGACATTGTTTTTCTATTTGACACAAAACAACTAAGTGTTGTAAGTCTCGATTTTTAAATTTGTCCTATAGATTATCCTCTACACCACGTGTGTGGACATTCCTAAATAAACAGAGGCACTTGCCACATGCTGCACTGTATATTTAAAGAAGTCTCTGCCCGACACTCATAAGACAACAGGTTTATTTCGTTTTTTGACACGTGATCTGAAATAAAACTCATGTGCAAATACAAAATAAAATCCATATATCTTGTGTTGATTTCACACAAAGAGGTAGTGCGTGCACTTACAAAATCAACTACCTAAATTTAAAAGTGAGGCAATGAAACAAAAAGAGTTGTTTAATTCATTGCTGTTCAGCATCTTTTACTGCACTAGGTGCATATGTGAACACACACGTACATTGTATAAACATTAAGTAACCAATATTAAGTAGATCAATGTAAAAATGACAATGATTTGGTAAAACGGGATATTTGTTGCTCACTTTTCTTGCTACAAGTAGCAGCCTTCTGAAAGCGAACATTCAAGGCACATTTAATGCTTTGGTGATGAGTCTTATTGACTACCGTTTGCTTTTGTGTTCTCGAGTTTTTGATGATCCATAATCTTGATGTTCTTTTCAGCATTTTCAACATTTCTCAATAGAGTCTCCAGCCTCCGCTTTATGTTCTTCTGGTCCTCCAGAGCGCAACCGATCACAATGGCCTGAAACTTCTGGTCGATGGGAATGGCCGGTGCTTCAGTCACACATGCGGCGTGCAGGGCCAGCAGCTTCTGCCTGCTCCCCTCCATGTCGTCCAGCAACTTTTTCACTATTTCATCTATGATGGATGTGGCTTTTTGTAGCGCCTCCTCCTGCTGCGGGTTTCTGATTGTCCCAACAGAGATTTCCACAGACAGCGTCCGGCCCATTAAACGGTCTGCAGTTAAAGTTAACTCCTCTCTCTCTCCTAAGAGACACAACACATAGAGAAAAAATAAAATGAAATGCATACTTTAAGTGAAAAAATACATTTACCACAGATAACTAGGTTTTGTAAGGGGTAGCATGTTGGCTAGATTTATCTCAATTCAAATCCTTGCCCTTGTCTTTATTATCTGAAGTTTCCATGTTCATGACTGTGCTCAGTCTACCAGAAGCCATGGACACAGTTATTTTATGCAGTGTAAAACAACAGGGTGGGCTTGCACATCTACACTTCAGATCTGCAAAGCCTTTCTAAAAAAAAATTCTCTGAGAGACAAAGCAGCTGGTGTAAAAACAATCTACAGCAGATAAATAGAAAGAAAATCAAGTCTGCTGAATTTGAATTTTCTGCCTCAAACTGTCACCAGTATGTATGGAGGAGGTCAGGAAAGAGACACAGCAGTAAGTATCAGCGGTGTTAGGGATCTTGTCAAAATTGATGAATTATGAACACAGAAAACTACCGTCAGATTTTGATTCACCATGCAGTACCATCTGGAAAGCATCTGATTGGCTTCATTTTTCAGCATGACAATGATCCCAAACACATTGCTAATGGATTAAAAGCTAGACAGAGGAAACACACAATGGAACACTATCTGTAATGGACTGGACTCCCCAGAGCCCAAAGCACAACATTACTGAAGCAGGGTGGGATCGTTTTGACAGAGAACAGAACAAAAGGCAGTCGCCCAAATTCTGTTTTGCCACATATATTTTGTATTTCCATTTATTTGTGCATGTTTTACTACATCACTGCACTTATTTCCACTTTACTGTCAATGTAGAAAGAAATAAGGAGTGGCTCAAGACTTCTGCCTAATACTGTACTTCTTTGCAAGTGGACGCTTTCTTTGGAAACAAAAAAAAAAAAAGAAAAGAAATACGGGTAATCAAATAAAGACTGCAGGTGGTTTTCAATGAGCATGTTCAGCCTAGTTTAGTGCCTTCATTAAAATAGAGCTTGATGTATAAATGACATCCATGAGCTGTAAACAACTACTTGGGTGGAACTCTTTAAATCCTCAGACATTCAGGAGCCCACCTCCACCCAACAGCAAAGTTAACTTTCAAAGCGTGTCTTCATTGGATCACAATGTTGCAGTGGCATCAGAGCAGAAAATACAGGAATTCAAAACACAGCAAAATGATACTAGGAGGCTATATGTTCACAGTGACATCAACCAGCGCGTGACTTTTGAGTTCAAGTTGTGATAGTCAGCAAGCCGCCTCACCAGCACAGATGTTACGCATTTCTTGACTGTTCTGTAGAGATTGAATCATTTCCAGGATGCACTCCCTTTCCTGCTCCATGGCCGATGCCGCTTCCCGTAAAGACTCCACCCTGTTGGAGACAACAAAGCATGACAATAACCGTCCATTGAAAAGCATCCTTAAACTGCGAGAGTAATGATTATGAGGCTGTGAGCTACGAACCTAAAGCAACCCACCTATAAAACATGTGATCATTAACTGTTCTCGGAAAACCGCCGAGAAATTAAAGCTACTTTTATGGCACATTTTATAGGCTATAATAACTTGTTATAGAAAATGTGAGCAGTCATATATATCCCACAAACGACAATGCTTGAATAGGTGGCTCATGCTAAGGCCCTTTACTTAACTACCTCATTTCCAGCTGGTCCAAACTTTCCAGCAGCCGCCCCGAGCGATCTGCCATGGATAGCGTCCTGCTGAACTTGCTAAAGGTAGCCTCGTTCATCTTCGCCTGTATTTTTGCCTGAGCCATGATGATGAACACCCGTCACAAGGCTGATCCGTTCCGGAGTAAAAACAAATCCCGTGTGCGGTCAACTCCGAGCTGTCCAGCTGACTGTAGCTCCACCGGCTGCTGCTGCAGCGCCCCTGGGAGAACATTTCCAAACATGGGCTGTGACTTCCTTCACTCACTCCTCATAGAAGCTTCCCGAGGAGCCCAGAACTATGCTCTCAAAACGAGGGTCCGAGGACCCCCTGAAGGACCCCGGAAACGGCCGTCCGGCCCACAGAAAAGCGAGCTAGGATTTAAATTAATAGGATAACAGTCACTATTTTTTGTTCAACAAAACTAGTTAATAGACTTTGCTGAATCCACCACAAAAACCTTTTAACTCTGACAGTGATTTATGTCAATGACTAAAGTACTATAAAAAAAATAAAAATAAATATATATTATATATATAATATAAATATATATATATAAATATATTATAAAACAAATATCTATATTTAATATAAAGTATATATATTATATAATAATATTATATTTATACATACATATATCTACTTAATACATATAATATTATTATATATATACAATATATTATACCTATATATACTACATATATATAATATATAGAATTATATAATATATATATATATATATATAGTATATTATATAATATATATTATATATATTATATATATAATATATTATATATATATATTTATAAATATTAATATATAATAATATAATATATATATATATATAATTTATATATTATGTTTTTTTTTATATTATATATTTATTATATATATATTTATATTTATATTATATATATTTATTTATTTATTTTACTCACCAAGAAAGGCATCTTCACCTCTGGCACTGCAGTTAGCCTGGAGCTGCCAAATTCTACAACCAGGAGCCCAGTGCTAATTAACTTGTACTGTGTCAGTGCACAACACCCAAGACTTACCTCATAGTCAACTATCTTCAAAGCTTTTGCTCTTTAGCCAACTTGCCCAAAATCAGATATCTGGCTTGTAACAGCCAAGGGAATGGAAACTTTGACGGATATATTGCAGTTGAGTACAATATAATAATTCTGAATTCATATTTTCAGTGTTAATCCATGAAAAGGAATTGGCTACCCAGATCAGTGTATGCAGGAATGAGCTGTTAATTTTATCCAAGAGCCCACATGAGAAACTGGTACTGCGGTAGTCCCAGTTTGTAATGTGGGCCCCTGGGGAACATTAATTGCTGGGTATACGAGTTTTACTCGAGTGCACTCTTAAGTGTGTGCACCAAATTAACACATTTCTGGAGCACAACAATTATGTGAATTTATATTGCAGACTTCTGGATATTGCAAAAGCTTTTTCCTTAAGAAAAATAATCTAGCATTCTAGCGTAGAAGGATCGGGATTCACATGACACCATGCGAAGAGTCTGTTTTCCAGTGTATTGTATGTCACAGAGCGCAACTGGAGACACAGCACTGTGGTCACATGTTCAGCTCAGGCATCTTGCAGTGTGGTGGATGCCATCTATAGCACACGTGTCGAAACACTCTGGCTCCTCACAAGTATCAAGCTTACAAAATTGCAAATCTGCAAGGTTCAGTTTGGTGTCCACTTACTGCAAATAATGAAAAACGCAGAAAAAGTAAGAAACAGGACAAACATTTAATTCTTTATTATATTCTGAACACGTTACCTTGTACAAAACATTCTAGTATAACGTTCGATGAACAGCATGTTACAAAAGCACTACTGGCTTTCTCAGAACTCCAGGAGGCTTCTTTTGAGAGCTTCTTCCAACTCTGTGAAAACAAATTACACGAGAAAACCTTCATTCATACCAGCATGGCCATATGGAAAACACTACAAACTGCATCATTTCAACAACACTGAGAACATTTTATGTTGACCACAATGTCATAACTTTAACATTTCTATTCTTTCATATCTCCAAATCTATTTATAGTGATCCCCAAAATGTTTCCTTCGTCTTTGAGCCAGCAGAGCCTTTAGGTCATCCACACTCCCCGCCCCCCTCTTCATGACGTCTCACAGGTGCCATAAAGATTGACTCTCACTCCGTGCCGACATCATTCTAAAATCTTCTCCTGGGAAAAATATTCTTTCAGTAGGCAGCTGCTTTGTTTTAGATTTCATATTTTAATGAAATCTAAAATCTGGACACTGATTGGAGTTTCTTACTCCATTCAAGAGATCAGCATGAATGCTAAATGTGGACTTGTCTGAAAATAACACCTTCAAAAGCTGCAGACTTTCTGTGCGTGTCATTTGTAAATTTAAGCCTAGCTGTCCCAGTCTGTGAGCTGGGGTCCGTTCTTCGTACGTCGCTTACTACATCCAAGATCAAATGACACATCCAAGATCAAATCATCGCGCTAACCGTGAGCTCGCTAATCCGGTTCCCCGAACACACCTGCTGTTGACGATTACTACAGCTGGATGAAGTAATGCGCGATCACTGGGTGTCGTAAAAGGGGCTACGCATCGATAGCAGAAACAGTGATCGGCAACCCGCTGATTGGTCGGCGAAAATGTCGAAGGGGCGTGCTCGGTATTTTCCGGCAGCAGAGCAAGAACTCATGAGTGAGGGATTTCAGGAGTTTCAGAGTTTAATTAAAACGCAAGAGAACACTGCAAAGGCTGCAAAAGCAAGGAGAGAGGGCTGGCAGAAAGTTGCTGACAAATCAAACTCGTAGGTAATTTAATAATAATAATAATAATGGATTGGGTTTATATAGCGCTCTCCAAGGCACCCAAAGCGCTTTACGATACCACTATTCATTCACTCCCACATTCACACACTGGTGGAGGCAGCTACGGTTGTAGCCAGGCTGCCATATCGCGCCATCGGCCCCTCTGGCCAACACCAGTAGGCGGTAGGGTAGATCTATCATATGACACTATATTGTCCAATATCATATGGCATTATATTATATCATAATATGTTATATTATATCCCCTTTCACATTAGAGCCACAACAGGACCCACAAGAACATGGGAACAAGTAAAAGTGGAATACAGGAGTATTCTACAGAATGGTAATATTTATCTCTTAGATTGCTTTTCGTCTCTTGGCAAGGTAATACTGGCCTGTAATACTCTGTTAGTTTGTTCATAACAGCAACCAAGAAAAGGGCAGAGGAAAAAAAGACAGGTGGTGGTCCTGCACCCCCTCGTCAACAAGTTGGTTAAGTAAATAATACCCTCACGGGAATATCGATATCTCTCAATGAGCACACTGTCGCGCTGAGCTAAAGGATCCTGTCTATCCCGCAATATACGCTGAATTCTGAGGACTCTCCTTATCAATCTTGCACCTTCCGCAATGGGTTGCTCGCGTATACGGACAGGCTTCCCAAATCCACCTTCGCTTTTATAGCCGTGGTCTCTCATCTTGATTACACGAAGTAATTTACAATTACTACTCTGAAATATGAATTACATCTGTAATAATCACATACATGTAATAGAATGTTAATAGTACATTTCCCTTTTTTAGGAAATGACCTGTATGTATCTGTGTGACATCAATACAAGGATCAAGTGCTGCATTATCTTTAGTTACATTGATGTTATTTATTTATGGTGAAACAGTGGTGGAATATCGCTGTTGCTTTCGTATAAATGAAGCGGACATACCTGCGTGGCCGCGATCTAATCCTGTTTACATAAAGTAAACCTGCTCCCGAGCAGGTTTACGCTTACGGCTCTGTTGCTATGACAGCAAGTCCCGGATGAGCTTCGGGGAACCGAACGATCCAGGATCACGCGAAATCGTCAACAATCTAATCCAGCTAACTTACTTAGCGAGGTACGAAGAACGGGCCCCTGGATAGTTTCCACTCCCCTCTACCCACACTTCGTCTTTGAACTGAGCTGTGTTTGTAATCCTGCTCAAAGCACTCCTCTGTGGCGTTTCTAAGCATTTTTTGTAATCTGATGGTGGCCTTTCTGAGTGCCTTTTGTTCCGAGGACTGACTTCTCTCTTCATCTTTCTGAAAATATTTCATAACCATGGAGGATTGAAGATCGAGATGGTCGGATGAACGTGTCATCCTATGCTTGAGCTCACGTCACCGTCTTTTACTGTTTGTCCCCAGTAGGAAGGGAATTTATGAATTTCTGAAGAACCTGTTTACACAGATGTAATTCATCACATTACTTTCCGATTTAAGCAGCAGGTTCCTGCTTTCTCAAATGTAAGCCTGACATTTTAGTACACAAAACTACAGTCGAGTTTCTCTTTCATCCTTTTGATCAAAACACATTCTTTATCTCGATGTTTGTTAAATGTGTTCAAATTCCTCCAAGCAGTGAGTCACGGTTCGATTCCTGGCCAGCCAGACTGCGAGTGCACATCACACTGCATCTCCCATATTTCCTGTCTGTTCCTATCTAATAAAAGAACAAAAAAACTCTCCCAGAAGGCTGGGAATAAACCTCACTGAACCAACTGTTCAAATATTTTTTAGGCCTGCATGTTATCCATTGACATTTTCATTCCTTAATGTGCAGGGCAATGTTAACAATCACCGACTGTATAACTTACTGGATGTTTATCTGAATACAATAACAAAAAAATACAATATGTCGTATTGTACTGACTTACAAACTGTTCAAAAGAGAAAGAGACTATATCCTCAGCCCTGCACACACATACCTGCTGACTCTTGTCCTTCTTCTGCGCTCAAAGACAGCGCGCGTTTCATTTCATCATCCGATTCAACTGTAACAGAATACAGAGTCGTTTATCCAAGCTGTTAAAAATCAAGATTAATGAGGATACTTTAAGACAAGTAAATCAGTGTGTTTTTGTTTGAGAGGACATTCATAGGATTAATTATGCAAATAATTATTAGCAGTTGAGCTAAAGCAAGAATTCTCTTTAAACAGACAGCTGTTAGGGTCTCATGACGAAAAGAGAAAAAAGAAGCAGCATTTATTTAGTATCCAGTCTTTTCTTTCTAGTTACAGGTGACAACAAAATTATTAGTCCCCTATTAAAATAAAATAAATTAAAAAATTTCGTCCATTTCAAACTTGCTCTAGTACTTTTTTAATAGAGCTAAGGATTTTCAACATAGGATTACTAAACACACTAGTTTTCTTTAGGAAGCATAAATTATTTCTATTTGCACACAATAACAGAATGTTTCAGAATTTTTTTTTTTTTTTTTTTTTTTTTTTTAAAAACCAGGGTCAATAATATTTGCTCCCTGAGAAAACTGGCCTTTTTATTTAGCTATAGCAAAAACCACCACTGTGCAATGATGTGCTTTATTTTTGTAATGCTCAAAGCTTTTAAAATCATTAAAGCTGTGGGTTTATCTTCCAATTTAAAGAAAGCATAAGAACCTCAAAAAGAGTTTGAGTTATCATGTGAAAAACACCTTTGTCAAAGTCAAAGAAATCCTGAAGGAAAAAAAGATATGAGAAAAATTTTAAAGAAAACCAGGAAAATTGGGTCTGAGCAGTCACTTTGTCTTTCAACATGACAACATAAACAATAAGTTACTCCTGGTGAAGAACTACCTCCAGAAGACCAAAGTCAGCATTACTGGCTGGACTGCTCAAAGACCTGCCTTGATGTGGGGTAAACAGAAGACCAAGGACTATGACAGGAGCCCATCAAATCTTAACGCATTTGAGAGACTCTGCAAAGAGGAATGGACAGGGATTGCTCAGGCGATGTGTGTGAGACTTGTTGAAAACTACAAAAAACTATTGCAGGCTGTTATCCAGCAAAAAGGATACACCACCTATTAGCATCAGGATGACTTATCTGGTAGTTTGTGTAAATAATTTGGTTCCTGTGTGCAAAATAAAAATAATGTAACCAATAAAAATCTAAGATTTTTGGAAAAGCTGTGATTAAAATTCTTTCCTCTGTTTAACAGCACTTTAAAAAAAAAAAAAAAAATTCATAGGGGGACTAATAATTCTGGCCTCATCTGTATATCAGTGATATACATGTATAGTTTACTGCCTACCTTCCTGCACTTCACTCTCGTCATTGGTGTGATCAATGTTCAAAAATGTCAGCGTTTCGTCGTCAATCTCTGCGAACATGAATACAAATTAACATCCAAAAACAAGACATTAAATGTGAATCAGTTTAACAGATTTACCATTGCTGTCTGGTTTGATCTCCGCAGCATTAGGTATTATTGGAGTGGTAGGTTCGGCTTTTGAGCTTTTCCTGCAGGTCCTGGAACTCATGCAGGGATCCAGTGTACAATGTTGCAAGTGGTAGTGTTTATGGAAACTCGGTACATCCATAAAACTCTCTTGGCAGTCTTTGCATCTGATGTCAAAGCTCCTGTCCAGGTTCAAGGCTGTGTGTTTTGTGTGGACATGAGTCTTGATCTGTGCATAGGATGGAACAGATACATCGCAAGGCACACAGATGTACTGGCATTTTTCTTCCGCAGCCAGATTCCTCATGCATTGTGTGTAAGTGGCTTTCATGTCCTCTTTACTTTTTTCCGAACCCATGCACGGGCATGTAAACTGACTGGTCCTCTCAGCGGCAGCGGCAGCATCAGCGGCATCTGGCTGAACAACTTCAACCTCATCCATGCAGTAGTAGTCCTTACTGTGAAGATTCTTGTAGTGCTCAAAAAACTCCTCCTCAGATCCAAACTCCATGCTGTCGCAGAGGCCGCAGAAATAGGAAGTTTTTACAAGCCCATCATGCTCATTCATACAGTGTCTCCGTACGGTGGACTCTTTGAAGAACTTCTGTGGACAGTGTCCGCAGACGAATCTCTGAAAGCTGTGACTACTAACATCGCTGCAGTGTTTACGGACGGCAGCCTCCGAGTCAAAGACATCCTCGCACATCCTGCACATCCAAGACTGCTCTACTTTTGATGAAGACACCTCTGTGCTCAGCTGGACTTTGGCCACAGACGAGGAGTGAAATGTGACGTCACTGCTAGTGGATGGCTTGACATCAACGATTATGGGAAGCTGCTCAGGCACTTCTTGTTCACTGAAATACGTGTGTCCGCTGTGAGCTCCGGACACGTGTGACAGGATGTCTTCGTACCGAGGCATTTCCACTTTGCACTTGCGGCAGTAGAAGAGGAAGTTGGAGAGATGAGCGCCCCCGTGAAAGCGACTCATATGCAGACGTGCAATGGAAGACTCCCCCATATGTTTGCCACACACGCCACACTGATGGAAAATTTGGTTCACAGCCAGAAGGTGCTTACTGGCTCCAGCCTCGTCTGAGAACTGAAGACCACACTCGCAACACCAAGCTGTTACGCTCCCGCTACTGGTGACAGTCACACTTGTCCCCGAGCTCTGCTGTTTAGCTGGAAATCTGTCATGGTCGTCGCTCTTCCTGTTTCTTTTGAGAGGTGTTGCAAGGCCAGTGGTCTCCTCTGTGTCTGTTGAGTCTCTAGCTCTCTTCAAGTGTTGAATTTCACTAAACCTGCAGTGCTGAAGAAGTGCTTTTGCCATTGTTTGGTTGAGTTCAACTTCATGCTGCATCGACCCCCTGTGTCTCTCAATTTCAGCTTGGCTGAGGAAGATTTCACAGCAGACAGAACACTGTCCTCGCACTTGCAGCTGATTCATGACCTGCACTATCGTCTTGTCAGCTTTGGCCACAGCACAGCCCTGTCTGCAGTACACACTAAAAAGAGGAAAATGAGGGACAAGGGCCATAAAAATGAGTTTCATAAAGGATCTGAATACAATCAGTGAAATATATATAAAGAGGTTTCACTACATTCAAATGTTGTAAAAAAACAAAACAAAAACAAAACATACTTAAAGTGAGCTTGAGCTGCTTGATGGGAGATCAGTACGTTATGACACAAAGAGCAGCGGACACTGAACACTACATCTTTGCACAAGGCGATGAGACGATTCTTGACATGTTGAGGGACAGGGACTGGCAGCGGACTTCCTGTGGGTTTTTTTAAAATCAAATGTAAAATAAAATGCAAATTGGCTCATTTAGCTACTTTCCAGTATCTAAGATCTTCTAGAACCACACAAACAAAAGTAACCTGAGTAAATATAAAATGCTGTTTTTAAGTAATGATTTTATTTATTAGAGGAAAAAAAAGAAAAGAAAAGAAAAAAAATGACCTCTTAAGGCGAGTGAGTCTTTGAAGTGGCTTTCGGCTGACATGTGCTGGAGACACTCGTCTCTGAGGTTGAAGAGGTTGTAGCAGGCAGGACATGCAAAACACACAATTCGCTGATACATCTGGTTGATGCTATGACCATCGGCATTAGATGAGGACACCTAGTAACCAAAACAGTTCTGAATTATTACACCATGCAGGGATTCAGGCTGCAACTTCTAATTGCACAGTCAGAAAAGTGCACAGACCTTCGACTTAACGTGGTTCCTCCAGGATTCTTTGGCCTGAAAATTCTTTCCACATGCAACACAGGCAAAAAACTCTGATGGACTTCCTTTAAGATTGATAGTCGGGTCACATGGGGAGTGATCAAACCTGCATACAAGAGCTTTTACTCAATACATGTGCAAGAGACAACCATTTTTTGTGAGGAAAACAGTTAAGCCGCTACACCAAGACACTCACGAATGAAGAATTATTACCTTTTCAAGTGTCCATCAAGGAGGGAAGCATTATCATAAACTCGACCACAGTTAATTACTGGACAAGTATGCCTAGTTGAGATAGTTCTGTGGAAAGAAGCTCTTTGTCTTCCCTCGGAACCAGCACTGATCGCTCCAGGTTTAAGACCTAGATAAACACAATATTGCAGTATGTTAAGTCCCACAAGCCACTCCACTGACAACTATAACAGAAAATTGCACCAATAAATCATTGATTTGACCCCGGTGGATGCAAGCCACTCTACACCACTAGAAGGTTTGTTTAGAATTCATTCAAAACATTTCAAGCCATTGTGTTTACAGATAGACAGAATAACATGTACACATGCAAACACTACCAAAAACATGACCTCCTTGGCAGAGGCAATTAGCATACTGATAGAAATGTAAAAAACAAACCAAAAAGACAAAAACAAACAGCAACTACGTGACAGGAAAATGTTTTAAAAGTCGTTCTACTTATTTGAGTAAAACAACTACAACAGATTTCTAATCCCGATCAATAATTACCTGGCATCTTTAACCACATGTCTACACAACGTTTGGCTTCCTGATTAATCCCATTTACAGCGCCAACAGCCAGCTCCTGTTGTCCATGAGCTTTTTGTAGGATCTGCTTCTCCTGAAAAAGGGACAAAGACGTAACACGTAAGATATTTGCCTCACATAGAAAACACAAAACAAAACAAACAAACAAAACAACATATCAGTGAAAACCAGCCAACTTTTTAATGTTGGTTCTCCAAGTAATGTTGCATGTTATGAATAGACTACCTTCCCCATTCTTTGTGCCCACAGGGGGGCACTGCTGCTCATAAAGTTGGGCTTAATCTACCCATACACTAACCCAGTAAAATCTTGGTGAGGATCTAAAGTTGAGTTTAAATTTCATGTTCTTTGTGAATATGTTAATGAGCACATGTATGTGTTAGCAATTTAAAATTCATAGTAAAATTTATTTTACAGCAGTTCACATAAAGCATAAGGCAATGCATCTTCTACTTTCCTGCTGTGCATAAAAAAAAAAAAAAAAAAGGTACA